AGCTCGACGCCTGCGAGGCCCTGTCGCTCGCAGGGCGAGGGCATCCCACCTCGTGCGGGGCCCGTGGCCTCACCAAGGGTGTCGTACGTTCGGTACGGTTGGCGTGTGCTTTTCTAGTTTTAAAATCCAATCTAAACAGTTAGAAAAAAAAAAGCCAGTGGACTTCATTGCAATTACTTATAGAATTCAGGTACTTAAATTTATATGGCTAAAGGGGAGTCCTATAAAATTTTGTAGTTCAATATATTCAGTTTGTTATTATAAAATCTTTATATCAAATGATTTTAAGTCTTCCAGGCAACTGAGACATACAGGATACAACTTTTAACTAGTATTTCTACTATGTGTTTTCTAGTTTTTGTGACCTGGTTTATTGCAGGTTATTGCTGCGTACAGCTTTGACTTTTCTTGCAAATATGCTGTGTCATGGCTGAATGCCAGGAAGTTTTAAAGGCCTGAAAGGTAGATTCTTTTATGGCATTTAGTAGATTCAAGATTCAAGTAATTGGTAATTACAGGGATTTCTTACTATGCTTTTTAGAGAAATGCTTCTTAGTAAAATGGTGATGGAGTTTGTGGTTTATGACGTGTGACTTGCAAGCTCTTGTTAGAAGGCGGCGGCTTTGGTGTGGTATTCAAATAGGATTTAAACAATGCGTTATGTGACTGTCTTTGTTCTTCCCTCTTAGAAGCCAAAATCCCTCTTGGGCCTCCTGGTGCGGCCAGAATCCCAGGTGCGGGATGAGGCAGACGAAGCTCAGACCGCGGTCAGGCAGCACCTGGATAAAGAACTCGTTCGTCTCTGTACCTCGCTGTTGGTTTGTTCCCTGGCGGTGACTGACAGGTACGGTGAGAACGGCCCTGCCCCTGCGCGTCCCATCGGGGCCTAATGCTGCTGCTGTGTCTCGGCAGCGTTAGAACGGAATTGTGTCGTGACTCAGTCACTCCAAACGGTAAAAATGGGGTAGGCTCCTCCTGAAGTGAAGATCAACTTTAAATAGGGCTTTTCACGGCAAAATTAGGGATTTATCTGGGAAGCCTGGGAGAGTACCTACTAGTGATCGCTTCTTCAGCACGTGACAGTTAAAGCGCAGGGAGAAGGTGGGCTATTTTCTTTTTCACTGCTGGGAATTTGCACAAGCAAGTGATAAATTGGTTGATTTTGTAGCATTTCTTTACAGCAAAGTAAAACACTAAAATGTTTGAACTATCAACGATGTTTATTTTCATGGAACTCCTTTCTGGCCCAATTCAGTGTATCAGCGCACACCAGTGATTATTTAGGACGGGTACTTCCAGCATGCAGTTCCAACTGCTTTCTGTCAGTCAAGCAACCACAGAAAGCGATTTCTGCTATTTTATGTTTGCAAGTTTCTAATGTGACATCTTCCCACTCTAAATCTCTGTCCAAGCGTATTCGAAGAGATACTAAACTTGCAGCTTAAGACAACTTTTGTTTATTTAAGTGCCACAACATAACTGATGTAAAGATACTTTCAAAATATTGTCTACTTCGTTCTTCCCACATAGTTATTCATGTTCTGAAAATTTTGGCAGCTGGAAAAGGGAGGGTTATAGGAATCCCTGCTAGCTGTATCTCCCACTCCAGTACTTCCTGTCTACCTGAATTCTGGGTTGATGGTATTTTGCAGGAAATATTTTTGAACTTGCCTCTCGGACCAGAGCAAACATAAGCATATCTACTAAGCTTTGCAGCTGCTCTTACATTATCAGTCATCTTCAGTCACTCGGTCTCTATTTACCATGCTCCTTAATAACAGAGCTGTATCTAACTTGTCCTGTTTCAGGGCTATTTTCCTGCACCCTGGTATAATCAGATGCATTATTAGGCTTTTGGCACCTGGGTGGAGCTAGAAGTGTTGAGTTTAATTCCAATTTATCCTGTGCAAAAAGCAATAGGAACTAGTTGAGATGCTGAGACTCATAGAGTAACAGGAATGAGGCATTGGCCTCTTGCAAAGTGATTTGTTAGAATAGCTTCACGCTGACAGCTGGTTTTTTGTGTTTTACAATGAAACCAGAGAGGGCTTGGAACTCGCTGGCTCCTTCAGAAGCGAGCTGGCGCTGAAGCTGCTGCAGTGCTTGAGGCTGGCAGACGCGCCGCACTTCTACGGGCTCCCCTCGCTGGAGAGAACGCTGCGAGGGATGGTTCACGCCACGGCGCTGCCCGGCTGGAGCGCCTGCTCCGCCGCCGCCGGCCCTGCCGCCCTCTGGGAGAAGTACCTGGCGGCTCTTCTCGAGGCAAGTGTGTGACTCTGCTTTGGGCTGAATGCTCACGCAGAACCGCGTTGCTAAAGGTGCCGTAATTTCTTGGGCGTACTTCTAGTGAATATTGTCACTAGGGGTGGGGAACGTGCTTTTTTCTGCCGAGTGAACAGCAAATCTGTGCAGAGCAGGCTGAGTGGTGTGCGTCTGTGCTTACGATGGCACGGTGTTGTGTGTGCCCTCATCCCCTGCTTAAGAGCACTACGAAGTGACCATAGCTTAAGCAAGAGGAAAAATAGATGCTGTGGTTTGGTTGGGTTTGGTGGGTTTTTTTAACTGAAACTCTAAGAGGGAAAATCCGAGATCTTCTGCCACAGGCAAAGTCCATGTGTGGAAGGGGTCTAGGGGAACAGTGACTCCTCAGGCAGCTGCTGACACCGAGAAAGCAGAGGAGAGGTAATTCAGGGTGCTGCGGTTGTTGGGAAGCCAGAATGTCCGTGTTGTTCTCGGTGTTCTTATTTGTCTCCCGAGTCCTCGGATGTGACAGGCAATTAGGTTTTGCTCCTCACATTACAACTTTTGGAAACTCCAGTCGTCTTAAAACTGTGGGAAAAGCATTCTGAAAAGCTTTCTGATTGTTTTACTAGTACTCAGTAGGTAGGTACATCTAGAAGCTTCCTTCTTAGTTTCCAATACTAAAATCTATTTGTTGCATTGGTAGAGGCTTGAAAAAGGTCTCTTACAGTAGTTTTGATTAATTAGTGATTGAGTGGTATGAATAGCAACCAGCTAAGTGTTGGGGAAGTTTTTTATACAGATGGTAATCATATTTGAGATGGAAAAAAAAGACAGTCATTTAGGGGAAAGTCTTAAATTGCCAAGATTTCTTGAGTAGAAATAAATATTTTTGGGGTTATTTGACTAGATGTGTTCTGCAGTTTGAGATCTAGACCAAAAATGGCACCGAGGCTATAGACATTGTCATGTGAAGGAAAGACGGTTACTGGACAAAATGGTAATGAATGTTACAGAATGAATGAAGTCAACTGGTAATACGGAAGCTTTGTGTGCAGAAGAATTATGCAGTTGTACTTGGCCTGAATATAAGTAAATTTAGGTTTCTTTTGGCAGGGAGGGGAGAAAGTGGGTTTGAATGGAATTGAATGGAGTGGGACAGTGAAAGAAAACAGCAGCAAAAACAGGTTGAAATGCCATGCTTTGGGGAGAAAAATGTGTCTAGAAGTGTAAGTCTCGAGATTTATGATCTTTAAAACAATACTTTTGGGCATCTTCTGCTGAAAGCAACACGCTTTTTATTCTAACATGTATGGCCAGGTGTTTGGTCAAAGGCAGTTTATTTTATGTTATGATCCAGTGACCTCTATTTCTGTTCATTAGAATTTGATAAAGCTGATATATTTATTCCAATTCAAATCACAATAAAAGATAGAAGTGAGTCTTTTTCTTGAAGACAAGATTTCGAAAAGAAATTATGTTTTTAATTCCAAACACAGCATAAAAAACTGGGTACAATAAATGGACTGTTTCCATCAAAAACAAACTTTCAGGTTTCTATTCAATTTCTTATTATTAAGCTCCGGTGCATTCTTCATTTGAAGAAGCAGATGAAATTGTGAGCTGCAGAGGTTTAACCACAGCAAACCCCGTGTGGCTGATAGGTAACTCCTTAATATCCAGCTAAAAATCCGCTGTCTTGTGATGAGTTTGGATGATGAGTTAGTGGTGTGTCGGCCAGCCTGCACTCTGCCTGTATGCTGCTTGCAGCGGAGCTCCATGAACTCCTGCCTCCACCCTTAGGTCATCTCGTCGTTTTACGTCGAGTGGGGCGGGAACGCGATGTCCTTCATGGGGAAAGGCGTGACGAAGAGCACGGTTCTCTGCTTGCTGCACCTGTCACACGAGATGGGGGCTCAAGCCACGGGCGCGGTGAGTGCGTTGCAGTCGTCCTCGTGTCGTGGGAGAGGTCTGCGCACAGATGTGCTTTAGGGGCCGAAGTCCAAGGGTGGGTGTTCCTCTGAGGTGGGGGAAGATGTCTGATTTTGAGACAGATAATAAAAATGAAAAAAAAAAAAATCAGGTGATCTCGCTTGGTACGTACTGTTAGCTACATGGATGGAATAGAGATTGGCGTACAAGAAAGCTGAAGATGCAGTTCTAACCCCGCTGAAATCATTCTGCTGCTACTTCTGTGGATTTAGAAAGGCCTTCTATCAGAATAAGCTATAATCTTTTTACAAACAATGAGAAATCAGGATTTTATGTAGCATGGATTAATTTATAACAGCATTATTTCTTCGGCCTTGTATAGATAACAGGCTTTCTAACATGTGTTCACGCATACATGTGTGTGTTCTTTCATGGGTGTGCATAGATGTATGCATGGAAGAATACACACGTACCTGGAGGAATTACCATCTCACTTGTCAGTAGTGATAGCGCCTTTTGTTGGCAAAACTTATATCTGTGCGTTCTGTCCACGTGCGTATTTCGAGTTCAATCTTTAAGAGTTTAGAACACATGGCCCTCATCCTGAAGCGGTGAAAGCAAATCCACGGTTTAGTGTAATCGTTTTGGAGAAATAATATCTGCTGTCGTTGCTACCTGTGACAGCCCCAAGTGAAAACCTTTCGCTATGACCAAGTACGTCGGTAAGGGGAACTAGCTGCGTGCCTGCTCGTCCGCATTCCGGGTGTCTGTTCCTTCCATTCTGAACCCCTCCTTCAAGGCAGAAAGTGCTGACAAAGCTTAAAATGGCAGGGGGACGAGTATTGATGCAGTGCTGGAAGACTGCGGCCTCCAAAGAATGAAATCCTAAAGGCTCGGACGGGTGGGCTTTTTTATACCTGTCTCCGCTAACGGAGCGCCGAGTCCAGCGCCCCAGCGCTGCCAAGCCCACGCTGACCCCTGTCCCCAAGCACCACCTCTTTACACACCTCTGGGGTGGTGACTCCACCACTGCCCTGGGCAGCCTCTTCCAGTGCCCGACAGCCCTTTCCCTGAAGAAATTCCTCCTAACGTCCAATCTAAACCTCCCCTGGCGCAGCTTGAGGCCGTTTCCTCTTGCCCTATTGGATTTTTTAACCTTTTTATAGTGCATGAAGACAAAGAATGAATTATGATTAAAGAAATAGTTGCGTGTTCTTATTTGCTAGTTTTCTGCACGTGTGTAATGTAGGAGAGAAAGGTAATGTTAACAGTAAGCAAAAATAAAAAATGTAAGGAGTAAATTTTGAATGGAAACAATTATCCCAGTATTTCAAGTAAAATACGTAATTTCTCTTTAGCACTGCTGTCCTAATTCTGTTTAATTTTGTTCCGTAGGTGAAGTCAGCGGGTTAAATACGTATTTTTGCTGGAATACCAGTGGTGTGCGTTTAAAGTGTTCCAGTGGGTCATCGGTAGCTCAGGCTGCTGGCAGACTGACGTGGCGTGGACAGAGTTGTGAAATAATTTATTAATTTCCTTCCTGTTGTCTAATCAGGACTGGATATCCCTTTGGTCTTTGCCTTATGACAGCAGTGAAGAGCAGGTTGCTTCTCAGCTGGGTCTGGCGTGGCTGGTTCCTTTATGGGTGGACAGAGACCCTGAGGTCAGTTAATGCAATGTCCGTATCTTATTTTGACCCTGAAGTATTTGCAAAATTTTTGTTTCATTAATTTATTTAACATTTAAATTACTGTTTTGCATTATTTAAAATGTTGCTGGCTATGTACTAAACGGCAGTAACAATAAAGCTAGAGAGAATGCTTCCACATAAACCTCTTCTGAGAAATCCTTCCCTACCCCGTCTGTCGGCCGGGCCTCCGCTAGTCCCGCAGGACCCCAGCTCACAGGCTGTTCGCATCGGCGTGGCTGTTACTCACCTGCGAGGCAGAAACATTTACAGGAACTACAAATTAGAGCGAATGCCTTTGATACAAATCTATTAGATGATGTTTGCTGAATGGAGCTGGTTTTAAGTGATAAAACGTGAAGAACTTGAAGACTGTCTTAGTATTTGTAAGTGTTCAGAAATGTATTTTATTAATTCTGTCGTGTTCACATGCACAGAGTTGTGACTGTGAGTGTGAGGGCAGAGAAATACAGAAGAGGTTGTTACTTTTTAAACAATTCCCTTAAGCTCCAGGTTCAGCTGATACAACTTAATAACTTAAAAAATGTGGTTTTAACTACTGTGGGAAATATCACTTTGTGTTGTGCTTGTACATGCCAGGTCAGATTTACAGCCCTTGGAATAGGCTCAGCTCTTACCTCTCTCGAGACGGGATGCGCTGCTTTAGCGGCGAGTTGCCAGAACATTTCGGGAGGGCTGTGGGGCACGGTGATGAACATCCTTCTGGACCAGGCCGAGTGCAGCATGGTGCGCAGGGAGGTACGGTTCTCGCGTCCTTCTGCGGCCTGAGGTGGTCAGGGGTTGGGTTTGCATTAAGGAGGAAAGGTGGGGGCTCGTTTTTTGTTCTTTGTGTCTGTTCTCGATGCCACACAACCCCTCCTGCTCCGTAGGTGAAATACCTCCTAACGAAACCGAGTGTTTAGCTGCTCGTTTAGAACCGCTCCAGAAGCGCCAGCTACGGGTGCCTCAGGAATCGCCTGAGCAGTGCAGTGCAAACTCCTGGGGCCGCTGAGGCGGGCAGGGAGGCTGCCGGAGCAGAACACGTTGCCCCAGGCTGCAGTGGCTGTTGGTTCCGTTTGTGGACGCTCTGGTACAAAGTCGTCCCCTGACCCGCAGCAAAGACCTCTTCGCTGCAAGCATGGAGCAGTCTAACTTGCCGAGGCGCTGAGGTTTGTTGGTGAGAGCTGAGCGTTTGTGCTCCGGTAGAACAGCACCAGAACTGTGTCGTACTATTTAAGCTGCGTGCCTGCTTTTTGCAACTTTTTGTCAACTCCAGCTGTCGGGTTTTTCTCGTTTTCCAAGAACTGAGAACGAACGACTGTGACACACAGTGGGTTAGTTTCTTCCCAGCTCTGTTGCTCAACCAATTACCTATTCCAAAGTAGTATTTTGAATTTATTTGTGCAAAATGCTTTTGAGAATGTGTACTTCATCATTTATTTAACTTCCAAATCATTTTAGTTGTCTCATAAGAGTGAAATTATTGACAGAATATGAAAAAGGCGTTTCAGTCCGCCCCGCCATACATGTGATGTGTTTGTAATATAAATCAGAAAAACACACATGCTATGTGTTTAGAAAGGAAAATATTTGGAACACCTGTCTCTGTCCCAGTGTGTCCCACACATTGTCCCAATTACTGTATAATAATTAAAAAACAATACATGAGGACAGTAGAGGGAAGGGTCAAATACAGTTATGCAGGGTTTCCTGCTGGATTTTTTTTTTTTTCCCAATCCCTGTTAGGTATTGCTCATTCAACAGGATCAACTGTACTGGATCAGTGATGAAAGTGTTCTATAAGACCATTGTTTGTTTCCTAGTGATTTCTATTCCATCTCTTCCTTGTCATTTTTTTTCTTACCAGCCTTCTCTTGTGCCATGCCCTAAGGACATCTGTCACAGGTGAAGAGGGATTTTTAGGTTATATCCTTCTAATGATTCATTTTTTTCCAACATGAACATGAAAATTCTTTGTGTTTCAACACACGTCTAAAGCAAGGGGATGCTCTGCAGACGGTGCTGCTCAGCCTGCTGAGGTGTCTGACCGTGGTGGCTAGATGGCAGTGTTGATGCTTGCATTTCTTCCAGGCTGCTTTTATTCTGCAAAATCTCCTGGTGGTTCCACTTCCTGCCGACGATGTGAAAGATTGTCCTTGGCAAGTGAGTGACTATTGCGTTTGATCAGAAGGGTCATAGTGTCACAGAGACGTTATTTGATACAAAAACTTGTATTTTATAGGTATACTGACATAAACTTAAAAAAACGCGTGTCTAAGGTAGCATTTTGGGAAGAGAAATGTACAAATAGACAAACTTCTTTCAAACTTGCAGCAAGCTCAAGAAAAGAGCCAGAGTGAATTTGTACATGTGTTACATTCCATAGATACGGTACCCTTGGGCTCTAGGAAGCTTGCTTACCAACCGAGTATCAGCAGCGGTTTAGAACAGAAATGGGTCGGTTTTTACCCGCACCCGGAACGCAGCATGACTTGAGGGGTGTGAGGAAGAGGGGGCTCTGAGAAGGTGATGGTTATCAAATGTTTTGAAAGCAATATCTAAGTGGTGAGGAACAGCCCTTTCCAAGGACAGGTGAAGCAGCTTGTTGCTTAACTCAATTTAAACGCTTCTTAAAAACATAACCCCTTGCGCAAAGCAGGGTGAGCTGGAGCGGGCTGCTCGGCGCTGTGTCCAGTTGGGTTTGGGAGGAGTTCCTGTTTTGGAGTGTTTGCTCGTTGCCTTTTGTCCTGTCACTGCACAGCAATGAGAAGAGTCCGTCTCCCTTGACTTTCTCTCATCAGGTATTTGTACAAACTGATAAGACCCCCTGAAGACTTTTCCAGTTCTGATCTTGAGTCAGTCATCTCGCAGGACCTTCAGCAAGTCTGGGTCACTTTACGTAAAGATGTTTGGATCTTAGTTCCCCATTTCTCAAATCTTTGTGCCCTAGATACCTGTCCTTTCTGTCCGTCTTGCTCCTTCCAGCATGGGAGGTCGCGCCTGCATGAGAACAGTGCATGTTCTTTTGGGGAGAAGTTTGCAGACGTGGCCGTATCCTGTTTTATCTGTTCTGTTCCGCGGAAGCTCATCCCATTAGTGCCGAAAGACGTTCCTCCTCTTTTACTGGGATGGGTTATCTGTGATGCAGCTGCACCCGAAGTCAGTTATGCTGTCTCTAGCCTTGCCTTTCCTTGCCCCCTGATCGTAAAGGAAACCGTCGAATCCGGCCCTCGTTTCACTCTTACTGCTCATTACTTGTATGTTGTCGATATAAGTAGTGATTCTGTAAATGTGTAATAGCAGGGGATTTACAACGGGCAGCCATTGTAACTTGTCGGTATAAACTCTATTAAGTTGCTTAGTCTTTTTTAAATGTTTCAGTTACTATGGTGAGGTGACAAAAATTGAATCCAGTTGCAGAATTCTGGATGAATTCCAGGGCAATTACTAGAAAAGCTTTGAGTCAATGTGATTTTTATTAAGTAGTGCAATTTAATGGAAATTGCTCATCACTTAGTAAGTGTTCATGCCCAAAGATATTATCAAACAACACTTCATGATAACTGATGAATTAAAACTGTTGAAAATACAAACAACAATTAAAACTGTAAGATACCAGCGGGATCAAATTCTGTATTTGAGTTCCCTTTTCCCTTGTGCTGAACAAGGTGGTTCCTTGTCTGACCTTAATGGCAGCAGGCTCAAAGGGGAGCTGTGACGTGGATAACGCACCGCAGACGGAGTAGAACAGGATCGTTCCGTCCCTCGGGCAGACGGGGCTGGAAGAGGAAAGGCTGTTCACGGGGTCTGTGGGCCGGTGTCTCCCCGAGGGTGTCTGTGGCGTGGCTGTTACCCGGCCCGTGGGCTCCATCACAGTTCGGCCTGCTGCGTTACTTGAAGGAGAGGCGTAGGAGAGTTGTTGCCACGAGCGGGGTCAGCCTGTGTGAAGTGGCATGAGACCGCAGCGTGCCGTGCTGCGTGAGGACTGCCGGGGTCGGAGCGCTTCAGGAAT